TTTCGGCAAATCTTAATGTATTTGCACGTTTTAAATTTATACCTTTTCTGTATAACCACTAAAAGAAATAGGCTTAATAAGTCTGCAAGTACCTTCGGTTTTCCGTCGGTATAATAACCGATTTATATATACAAAGTATACCTACTGATTTTATAATAATACTGACGTTACCAAATTGAAAATAAATATATGCGACTAAAATTATAATTTTATTTTTAAGACAATTAGTAACGAGGTTTGAATATTGAGAGGCGCCAAAGTGACCTATAACATTGTATGGTCGACGGTGTCAACTACTTAAAAGTACACCAATATAATGACGTATTAACACCGGTCTAAATGTTCAATGTTTCAATCGGGGACAACAACGTATAATTTTCGCGAAAGGTGGCTAAAACGCTTTGTCTTTATTTTTACGTGTTAGCTGTGCCGTAATATCGTATTTTGTATGATCGTTTTGTCTTCGTCCAGACAATATTGCACAATTCGAGTTATAAATTTATTTTGATGTAATTAAAACAATATACCTAGTATATAGATACTTATTTGTATTGTTATTAATGACGCATTTATTTTGGCATTTTAACGACGAAGACGTATAAACTACACTCTCGATAACAATAATTAATAATATAGCTTAATAGGTATAATATAATATACCTAATGATATTATATTGACGACTTGACATGTACTCGTGTAGCAGACTTTCGTACGAAATTATTTGATGCTCAGATCATTCTAATCGTGTACGAAAATAAAATATCGTTTATAGTTGAAAATGATTAATTTAAATGACGAATGACGCACGTTTCATATTTTATCGATTTTTTTTTTTTCTATACCTAATATTTGTTTATGAATACTTAAGTGATCTCAAGCATACGATTTCGATTCTCACATATTGGCCTAACATTGCTTGTTTAAAATAATTATAGCGTCCAAAAAAAATTTAATTGACCAAAAAACCAATCTGCCATATACCGAAGAAACTGGTGTTGATAAATGAGTGAAACGATATTCGTCATCCGAATTCCTAGTGAATTCGATATTTTGCGTTACAACCTATATAGCATCTCTGTTCTAAAACTGGTTTGGATTTTTTTCGCGTCGAAAAAAAAAACTAAAGATGCGAGAAAGTCAAAAACCCATTGTTGACGGGCCAACGGATAATTTTATACATCCAGTTAACGCGAAAAAAAATATATATATATAAAAAAATATTTAATGACGATAATAGTAGCGACGCATTTAAGTTCTTCGGGCCGAACGACTTGCTCTTCTGCAGTGTGTTGCGCAATCGGAATAATAATAATATTATATATCCGGACTCTCGAGCAGCACTTTCACTTCGCGCAAACTGCCGCCGCCGTAGTTTGCGAGCACAGAATATAATCACATTATACTATAATAATATAATAATGCACGCCGATATACCGCTACTATTAATGAACATGGCAAATCAGATAAAAAAAAAAAAAAAAATAATAAGAAATAAAACGTAATACGTGTTCACGGACGATATATTTCGTTTTTTAGAAGAAACGCGCCCGACCGTTTCCGACCGACTTTATCTAGACGGATTATCAGCAAATAATATATATTAAACAAATTAATGGAATTTGAATTTTCACACACGTTTTGACGCGATAATCTCAAAATTGTGCACACGCGTCGGCTCTATAACGAAATCTACTTTGAATAGAAAGTTTCGAATGGCCCGTGGGATATAATATTAAAAACGAGAGTAAACGTATAACGGTTGAAACTATTTATGAAATTTATCATTATCATTTGTATAATATTAATAATTATTATGTATGCACACAGGTACCGTTATAAAAAGCACTTTTGATTTTACGTTTTCGCGCACGTCGCTGTGTACCTACTAGCTACCTAATATACCTATCATTCGAACCCTTTAAAAAAATACTAATCGACGTTTTGCTCCAATCGAACGTACATCCTGCAGAAAAATATAATATTTCATTACACATTATCATCGTCTAAACTAATTTATGTTAATATTATATTATAGTTTATCGCTTTGAAATATACTTAACCTTCGCATGCCAATTTCGTAAAATAGAAATTATGTTTAACTAATCTTACTATAACGCGTTTTTCATTATTATATGCGCATAAGCTGCGATGGTTTTTTTTTTTTTTATTTATATCGAAAAATTAACTGGCCGATGACTATCGCCACTTGTAGTACCTACTTAACACTAAGTTTCTTGCATGCAATATATTTTAACACAGCCACTATTGCCCGTATACCTATATAGGTAATTAATTACCGAGTAAATAAAACATTGCGATGTACGACCATTTTTGCTATAATGATTAAAGGTTATTTATGAATTTTATATTTTAATAATAATATTGCACACCACAATCTTAATTCAATACCTGCGCAACACTTGTGCCGGTCAATGATGTTAAAAAATGATTGATAAATACATCGTCTACCTTTGTAGTGTAAATATTAAAATATGTTTAATTTATACATCAAATCGAAACAAAATAATCGAATAAATTTATTATGTGTGTAGATAATTATGATAATTTATGTTTAATAAAATCATTCATCTATCAGTAATACGTCGAATCTATTTAGTTATACAGTCATCTCAGTCATAGTTCAACACTGATAAAATATAAAGTCATGCATAATTTCAGAATAAACTATATTTTTTTTTTTTGTAGATGCAGTCTATACTCTATGTAATATATTCCATATTATAATTGTGTACGTATAAAATAAAATATTATTAGGCCGTTTTATAATAATTATTATAACGATATTAAACGTATAGGTACGATAAAACAACATGAAATTCAGTGCGTATCGACTGTAATAGTATCATATACCGAATGTACCTAAAACGTATTATAAATATTTAAATTAAATTTTATATATATATGTATACCTCATCAATAGTGTATATAATTAATATATTGAAGAAACCCAAATTAAATGGTCAGAATGTTAAGTAAAATATGTATGCAATGTGATCTACTGCGTTAGGAAAATAAGTGATAAACCTATTTACTTATTTCGTGTGCACGTGTACTGTGGTAGATAGTTGACGAACGGCTGTGTAATATATAAGTAACAATGAGAATCCGGAACAGTATTATATAGTTAATGTTATTTAAAAAATATTTCTGCCTTCTATCACTGTATCGACTCCAAGTGAATAAATGTATAATTTCTCCGGAATTAAATGTCCGGATATTGGGAAAACACGAGTGTCAATTCCTGTACAATTTTCAGCGGGCGAAATGAGTAAATCGAACGTTTAACGCGGATTACACGCACAATAATAGTATAATATATTATATACCTACTAGGCGTCTACTGCAGTGTTTCGACTTTCGATAGAGGGGAGGTAGGTAAAAAGAAACAGACAAATCGGAAAAATCGCAGATTGATGTCTGAGAAATGAAGACGAAAGTGAAAACGAATCGTAATGGAAGCAAGAACGTGTCAAATCTGTTACGGCTTCCTACTTCCGGCATTACGAAACGATCGCAACTGTACATGCGTACTGGTATAATACCTCTTCTCCGGTACCGCGGTAGCGGTGCAATTATCAGACCGGTAAATATAGGTTTGTCCGCGCCGTCTCTCTTTGCAGGTTCTTTATATTTTTTCGCACAATTATATCCTATTGGTATATACATGCATAATAATTGTATCCATCTTGTTATTATTTCATTGTACCAAAACCAAAGCGCGTGTGTCTTGTTAATGTTTTTTTTTCTTTTTTTTTTTTATGAAAGAACGTTTTTAATGGCTTGGCCTGCGGTCGTTGGTGGTTTTTAATCAATTTTTTTTCTGTAATCGACAAGGACAGTGTTTTATATGTATATATATATATTGTCGTCTTATGATAAAAATAAAAACAAATAAACACATACTATAGAAACTCTAAATAATTTAACTAATCTCAAACTGAAAAAAAAAACCAATCATCTAAAATATATATTTAAGTATATACACTTACTTGAAGACGATATCTGGGCAATGATAATTATTCCCGTTTAATATTAGATTAATCCGAACATTAATATAATGTTTAGTAAAAAAAAAAAAAATTATTTTAGAATCCTGCGTAGGTCGATTTAAGTAATCGGCTATAATCCATGTTTTACTTAATTCTACAATGATATACGCCGCAACGATGTAAAAATGTTAAAAACCGAATCGAATAGCATAAAATAACAAATATTGTCGTTTAATTGCGTCGAATAGGTACGGTGTAGCCTTGAGTGGTATCCATCATATTTCTGGTATACAACAGTAGTTTATAACGATATAAATCCATTTACGGCATTTCTTCTATGCTAATTAATATATGTATATCAAACTACTCTATATTTTCAAAGCTGTTCGATAAGCGTACATTGTAACTTCGTAGATTCCATGGATTCAAAGATTTTTCCCGTATTGCATGACAGTATACAGAACAAAATGATAAAAACCTATGTCCATAAATCGGTTTTAAGTCTAAACCATGAGCTGATTAATGAATTTCAATGACAGAACTAATGTGTTTTCATTGTGTTCGCTGTGTTTCCTGATACAAGTTTCAGAAAGTCTTCAATTAATTATTCTCATCTTGAATATCTCGTTTATTTATTGTGCGCAAAAAACGTACAAACATATTATTGTGTACAATAATGTATGTATTTGGTCGTTATAGTCGTTTTAATTGGAGATGTATAGCTGCTTCCTCCTAAACCACGCTGATTAGCACAATTTTCTGAAAATTATTTTGATTTCTGTTGCGTTTTTGATTGTCAACTCAAAGTTACCTTGGATTACACGCCGAAGGCCAATTCCTGCGCCGTTGTGATCCAAATACCGCGTATTATTTTATTTACTCGTGTTAATTAATCACCAATTTAGTTTTCTTTATAAAACGAGACAATTAGTATTACTTTTATGCTTCTGCTAACGAGATTTTCACGGGTGATTTGATTTGTTTTTCAGGCAAAGCGTGTGGAGTACCCAGAGATGGAAATACCGATAAAAAAGAAGAAACAGAGCTTTTGTGGAGCAACGTCGTAGAATCTCAGTCAGCGTTTCTGGGACCAAACCTTTGGGACAACAAAACCATACCATACGACAATGACCTTAAAGTAATTATCTCGTCTATATATTAGTGAATAATCTAACTACATAAAACAACTTGTTTTTAATGTCGAGTTTATGGATTTATCGAAAACCTATATGAAATGTGTTTTATTAAACGCCGGAAAAACTTAATTATGATCTGTATATACTTACACCGTTTACATTCCACGTCCAATCAGTAGCCATTACTTCTGTGTAATAATTTTGTAAATAAGCCAATAATCTTTGTTGTAGCTTCTAATAATAAAATAAAATAAAATAAAAGTAGTCATTATCTGCAACAACGCCGAAACGACCGTAAAGCATTTATGATAAGCCAATTCATATTAAAGTGTTTACAGCCAGCTGAGGGCGTATTAAATCATAAAAATCGAATTTAAACCACGACGATTCATAATGTCACTCATCAGTTCGTTTGACCGCCTCACGCACCACCTATACATGTAATACGTGCGATATATTCAAATTTCAAAGGTGGGAAACGTCGAACGTTAAACTATAATTAGTATTAACAAACTATACTTTCAACTTAAAATCAATGCGAAAAAAAAAAATCAAGTTAAAAAAAAATTAAATAATTTCGTTTGAAACTTTCACCCGAGTCGCGCACATGCTCGGTAAAGCAATTCGTGAAACTCGATATACTTCTTTTTTTTTTTTTTTTTATTTGCTTTACAACGACTGTAACTGTTGTTAAAAATCCACGCTGAAGTCTGTACCGTATATTATTTTTTTTTATCCGCACTCTATGGTTGGCTGTGCCTGTATTATAGTGATTTAGGCAATAACACACGTGTGTGTCAACTAAATCATTAAAATATCAAGAAATATGTTTTTCATTTATTCCTATTGATATAATATTGTTTTTCGTGCGGAACCGATCAAACAAACAAATGACGAATTAATTAGTTTTGACTGCGTTATGCTAGAATATCGATAACGTGACGACGGTGTACAGGGCGGCCCACCGTGATTTGCCCTCTTTCTCGCGTTGGCGAATTCGGTGAAACGGAAATAACTGCACTGTGCACCGCCCTGTAACTACATTACTCATTACGTAGGTATATGATATATATTTATAAGACTTTGGTGCCCGAACGTCTATTATATATAATGACTTGTCCCGAGTGATTCATCGTCGCCAAGCCGGGACCTCTGAAGCTATGAAACTTGGACGGTATAGTTTTGTTTTTTGACGTAAACGCCCGCTAAGCAAGGATTTTTCGAAATTCGGCCCCCTTTTAACAGGGATTAAAAGGGATAAAAACGAAAAAAAAATATTGAATAACACAAAAAACCGCCACGGGCAAAGTCGAGGTTTTCCAGCTAGTCTATTATATTTTTATTATAACCTCGTGACGCGTTTCCGTTTCAGTATTGCGACCTCGACGAATTCCTGTCCGAGAACGGATTGCCGGTGGAAGGCGACCATCAGAACGGAACGACCGCTGGAGGCAACGTCAATCCGGGCACCATAGTGGCCGTCGGCCACCAGGGCGGCCCAATCATGCCGGGCGCCAACAATCGTTTGTCGTCGCCGCCGCCGCCGTCTTCCATACACCCGATTCAACATTTGCAGACAAACGGCGTGTCCGGCGTGGGCGTCATACTGACCAAGCGCGAACCGTCTCCGTCGCCCAGCGAACCGCTCAGCCCGATCACCATAAACCCGGCATCGCCAGCAGATTCAAGTGAGTGTCATCTCTGTGTATAGGAAATTTATAAAACAGTCGATTAATGTTATGTATATTATCAACGTCGTCGTGTCATAATCGTTGTCGTCACGAGCGTGTGCGATGAAACACGCAAAAAAAAAACTAAATATTTAACTATAGTTAAAAAAAAAAAAAAAAAAAATAATATTAATAATAACCCGATTTACCTATAACCTGTACGGGCTTATCGTAATATGTTATGCGTTGATAATATTAATTACGATTACGTATTATACGTACCCAGTCCTGCGTGTACTTACGGCGTGCGTTTCTTTTTGCAGCATTGTCGTTCGCGTCGTCCAGCAGAGACTTCGACCCGAGAACAAGGCCGTTTTCCGACGAGGAATTGAAGCCGCAGCCAATGGTAAAGAAATCAAGGAAACAGGTGAGAAGGGCCTCGTTAACTTGATTGGTTTATTCATTATAATGTCATTACGCCGCGAACTTTGTCGCGGCTCTTGTGACATCCCATTGACCATAATTTTTCATTAGTTTGTACCGGATGGGCTGAAAGATGAGAAATACTGGGCAAGACGTAGAAAAAACAACATGGCGGCAAAGCGATCGAGAGACGCGAGGCGAATGAAAGAGAACCAAATTGCATTGAGAGCAGGGTTTTTAGAAAAAGAGGTACTATTATTTAACCGCATAGTGGGACGAATATTATATTTAAAGGATTCCTTCAAAGCTTATATATATATATATATATGGTACTACTGCAGTAGGGTTAACAGGACGAATTGATCAGAGATTTAAAATTTAAACTTAACCGCTTAGTATCATATCTAGCTTATTTCAAAGTACCTATATTTTCGGGCGTTTAATACATATATATTTGCCAATAGAATAATGATATGACACCGTATGAAAATCACTAAAACGATATGCTGATTTCTCGTAATTTTAAAAATATTATTTTACAAAGTTATACCTATTTCATTAATTTGTAAAGTGTTACTGCTGGGTAGCTACTCCCCTCACGCATTCACAGTCAACTCTTTTTATATTTCCGCTCATATGCTCATTGTAACTATCATTACAGATTGTATATATTCAAATAAATGTTAAAAAAAAATATATAACTTATGATTAAACTATAATCGTATTACATCACATTACGCTTTATAAACCTAATAATTTATCATTGATGTAAATATTAAATCATTTCTAATTTTATAATATTTAATAATACGCGTGTACATGGTGTGCCGCTGTATCCGATATTTTAATAATCGATTACATATTTTTTATTCGTCATCACTTATTAAACTATTTGTAAATTACTTAGAAATAGACGTGTTGAACTACTAATATACTCGACCTTAAACCTGTGCAGAAAATTTTTGTTGAGCTATTATAGTTACATACTAAAAGCTAATAAAAAAAAAATAAAAAAACCTGTGCAGATTTACCCAAACTTAATACTTATATCTCTGGACGTATAATCATAATAATTATGCTTTACTAACAAAACAACAAACAGATTATTGTTACAAAAATAATAAAATACGTATTCTTGGACATTACAGAACATGGGCCTTCGACAAGAGATGGAACGTTTAAAGAAAGAAAATTTAGCACTCCGAGATCGTCTTTCAAAGTTCGAGATCTAGAATATTTCCCGTGGATTTGTATGCACCATAGTATCCTTACCCTCTGTGTTTTGGAAAAAAAAGAAATACCTTACCCAAATTATCGTTACTATTTACCACACCGTCGACAGTCAGCTCGTTAATATATATAAACAACAACCACTCCTCTAATGCACCGCGGAGGTCGCCTTTAAAGAGTCGTCTTGTGTATAGAAATGAGTTTTATTATAATTACGTTTTAAGTTCATAAAAATTAAAAACGCATATAACCATTTATATGTATACAATGATATATGTATAATGAATATTATTGCTATAACACAACTGATCTCAATTCCAAATACGAAAGAATTCCACACACAACATCATTAACATTTGATCAGATTTACAAGAACATTATAAATTCGTCAATATACAACAGCATTGGATACTATATAAAACAAAGTTAATTTTCCCAGAGTATCAACTTACAATAGCTTTTAAGTCGATGTACATGGTTTTTGTTGTTCTGTACATAAAATAGGTCTACAATTATTAAATTATTAATTATATATTATATTATTATTTTATTTTATTTTATTATTATTTTTATTATTATTATTATTATTATAAATCGTCCTATTTATATGTTTTTATAAAAATGAAATGCGTGTTAACCTGACATATTATATTAATATAGTCTTGATAAGTATAAAAAAATATTATAAACGTAAAAAATATAATTCATAGGTACAAGATAAGACTTTATATAATGCTAATTGAGAAAAAAAAACAGGATTTAATTTCGTTTTATTTTTATTATTATTATTTTTTTTTTTTTTTTTATCAGTTGCATTGGTCATTAAAGTATATTGAAAATTGACCCTAAAGATGCAATTCATTTCATTACATTGTTAATATACAGCTGTAGTGGACGGTATGATTTCTTTTGTGAAGTTTTAAGGGATCTGTTTTCGTTTTACATCTATATCGTTGCGTGGGGATTTGTTTTATTTATTTATGCTTCCAATATTGTATAACATGTCAATTAATTCATAAGATCATCACAAATTAATTATTAATTGTTTTATTTTAATTTGTATAGATTTCTTAAATATATATATATAATATATAATTATCCTTCCTCCTCATTATGATTGACGAGAGTTTTTAATATGTTTAGTTTTACCATTATTATTTAATTGTTTGATTAGATACTTTTTTTTCTTTATTATTATTATTTTTTTTTAGCAATTAAGTGTTGATTTTTAAAAATGTTTATTTGTAGACATTTAAATGATTATTGACAGTTCGCTTATTGTTTAATAGGTTTATTTAATTAGGCTGTAGAATATTAAGGTATTTGTTCTAAGAATCATATTTGATATTTTGTGAATAGTTACTTTTTTTTATAATATACTTTAATAATATCATACCTAATAATAATTTTGTTTGAGAAAACAAACGTATGGGTCAGGGCTGCTGTAAGATTTTCTTTTTTTCTTTTTATATATGTATATGTGTGTGTATATATATACATATATGTATATACATATATGAACTTCATATATATATAAATAACATTGTTGTCAAATTATAATTATTTCCAAAAATGTTATTGTTTTGCATGAATATTGAATATACACGAAATGACCATTAGTTTATCATGTTATTGATTTTAATAATAATATATGTACCTTCACTATTAGTATAAAAAAGTATTTAAATTTTTTTCAATCACAAAATCACAATATTAAATTAATTGTGTACCTGAAGTGTTTACACGATGTCTACGATTGTATGCCCTATACACAATCGGACACTATTGGTTCTCGTGGAGTTACCACCATTGCAAATTGTAAAGCAATCGTTCGGCTACTGTATGTTTATACGTACCTATCCTTGACCAGCGGTCGCCAACCTTTCAGACTTCATATACCTAGTAGACCACTATAAATTCATAACATTAAAATATACTATACTATATTATATAAAATTATGATGTGAATGTTTTAAAGAAGATAAATTCATTTCCGTCGCTGAATGAACGCTCATAAGTCATAACCGTCACCAGACGGTGCCCGCAGCCTTCAGACACAAATACTATGCTTATAAATATGTATAATATTCATATATTCTCAATATTGCGAATTTGGAAAAAAAATGAAACCTCGCATACTCCATATGCCGCTTTAAGCACGCGTCATGATAACAGTAGAATACCTGGTATTCCTTATCGCAGTAGATTTTTGATTATGATTTTGCTGCATTATAATATAATATGATATTAATAATATCATAATGTTATAACATTATTACGGTATACATAAACAACCTGCGTAATAATAAAATTCTTATGTTTCACAAATAAACGATAATTATTGTGTTTCTAAACCGTTCGTAAACATTGCATTGCAATTTTATTTACACGATAGGTATGATGGGATTCAAAAAATAATTAACGCTCTACAAAAAAAATTAAAAAACCATCGTGTGTAGGTTTTACGCACTCGATGATGATGTCCACCGACCACCATGTCACCAACCTATTTATAACTTCGGCACTGTCGGATCCACGTTAACGGCAATCCACAAACGCGAAGGTGATGTCCAGATTTTTCTATAAATCAGGAAACGGTCACAAATTTACGGCCCCGTCTAACTGACTGCAATTTTTTAATCTTGACCAAGCCACATGTATTTTATGTATAATTATTATATTACATCTGAAGTCATTGTGAGGAAATCAGTAAACGATTTTTTTTCTTTTATAAAATTATGAAATAAAATAGTAAAACATAACTCATCTTTTTTTTTTTCAATCTTGTAACCATCTCCCAAACTATACTGACCCACGATGTCACCGAATCTCGGATACGATCCACCGTAAACAGTTTGATGACCACTGCACGCAGTGTAAACTGCTAACATTTTCTCCGGTTGATGACCTAAACAGTTTATGTCCATACATAATTATTTGTCAAGTCAATTGTTTAATTGACTAGTTATTATTTACTACAATAATTCAATAATACCTAGGCAGACAGAGTTAAAAATATTTGTAAATTATTAAGATCGTATGGGTATTGTCGACGTTGATTTTATTGACTAAACTTATCTAGGAAGACGTATCGAAGGCAATACTTGAAATTCCTAAAAATATTTCAAATTATGGACATACCTTCCAAAATCTTTTGACAATTATGTTTGTTTACCTACGACTTATCCTTATACTTCTCTTGCAGTTTTAAACGGCATTATATTCCTCTTCATCTTAAAATATTTTTCCTAGTTTAATCATTATGTCACTGTGTGGAGGTTGTCACTGAAGTACAAAACTATCGAACTAACGATAGTACCTACGTTTACTTATGTAAAATGATAAATAATATAACCACCATTCGTGTTATAAAATATAAACACTGTTTAAAAAAATTAATATACGCGGTCAATGTTAAACAAATTTATTAAATGTATTTATATACACAATTTCAACTACCTAGGTGAGATATGCTTAAAAAAACATCAATTTCGTCATTTATGTACCTACATTTTCTTCATTGACTATAGGTATACCTAATCAGGTAGATAATAATGCGACGGTAATTATAACTTAATATCAGGAATTTATTACTTTATAAGCATTTGGCCTAAGGACTGTCACAACTATTGGTACAGACGTGTACAGTTCAATGTTTTAAAAAATGGATAGGTTGTCAACGTTTGGTGATAAGGAAACTCGCTAAAATAAATACAAAAATGCATTAATCTGTGTTTGTACCTATCATAAAGTAATAAAACCTAAATGTTGCTAACCCAACGTACACACATATACTCAATACGTAATAGTCAAATGTTTAATATTATTTGACAAACACGCGCACCTCGTGACTCGTACCTGTATACTCGTGATTAGCACGCTCCCTCAGCAATGATGTAACGATAAACATATATTGTATGTGCACAGTTTTTTAGTGGTTTCGCGGATTGTATAATTACGTTGTAATATAATATCTGAAATGCTGAAGTACCTAAGCAAATAAAAACAATGTCCAACTATAAATTAGACTAAGGAGGACAACGAAAACAGCAACAGACTTGGAAAAAATCCAAAAAGTAAGTTAACAATATCGTGTGTGCGTTAAATTGAAAATTGATTGTATTTTGATGAAACTTACAGGGTAGGTTCAATGCATTTTCGTAGTCGGGGGAACTAACTGCTCTTGTACACCCGCGATGTCGCAGACTTCTCTCGCCAACTCTTTCGACCGCACGTATCCGTCGTCGGAATGCTGTTTCCCATCTAGAAATTCTTTAAATTTAGTGAACAGAAGAAAATCTGAGGGTGCTACGTCGGGCGAATAAGAAGGGTGCTTGGAAGTGGTCGATGATGATGATAAACAGAACTCGATTGTTGACGCGTTCAAACAGGGCCAATCGGCGACAATCGCAATGACAAGAATGTCAGACAGACAGCAATAAGAAACGTAAAAAGTTTGAAATATTGACATGTCTAGGGACAAGTATACGACGGGTTTGACTATTAGAGCGCAGTAAATTATGGCGGTATAATACAATAAATAAGTGTGTGTGTGTGTGTGTGTGTGTGTGAAGTGAGGCAAAAAAATACTTTTTAATTTTTATGATGTGATTCACAGATAATAATATATTATACGTTTTACAGAATTTACTTATTCATATAGCCTCAACGCGAGAGATCGTCCCGAGATATTCAATTCGATACGTCGTACGACGCATAATCGAAATATTGGTATGTCGATAATTTACATATAATAAGGACGACAGAGCGGTAGAGCCGATCATATTTGCCAACAAATAAAAATAATGGTAAATACACAGCTGCTTGAAATCTTCGCCGCTGCTAACTGTTGTCAAACAGAAAATTTATTTTAATTCCAAAAACAAATCGTATGCTTAAACACTACTGCGACTGATGAGAACGAAGTGTTGGCTGTCGAACAGACTATGGATTTCAACTTTGACATCATAATTATTAATATGTGTTAACACTAAACGACTAAACTTCACTCTCAAATCGATTAAAAACAATGTTGATAATTAGTCATTAATTACATACATTTATAACTTATATATACTATACTACTATAGTTACTATTTCAAATCATGTAAAATAATATTATTACAATAGTAAATTTACTACACTTACATTGCGATAGATTAAACATTTTAATCTTACAAATTATAATCCTCCTGAAAGATGAATGGTTAACATCAAAAACATTTGTTGTAAGTATTCATAATCATAAAAAGCCCCTTTTATAAATCTGTGTGAAGAATTTTGGGTAGATTATCTCGTGAGAACAGAGCAAACGGGCTGAGATACTATGAATTATGCCGTAGTTTTTTAACTTTAATTTCCAGACAATTCTTTTCAAATCGACACTACAAATTAATATAAGTACAAAACTTACATACTAAATTTTATATTACCATTTATCATAATGAGTTACAGTAATATTATAATACAATTTAAAAATCTATAGATATTTGAAATACATTTCGTTTGCATTGTATGATTAAAATTAAAAAATAAAACCAACTTAACGAAAAAGTATATACACGGTCACCTCTTAATTAAAAAAAAGACGACATTTTATCAACTATCTACTTGATGGTTAATAAAAATGAGTGGTTTCAGACTTCAGTTTTGATTACTGTGTAAATTGGAAGTGCTATCAAAACTAATTTTCTTAGAAATTAAAATACAAATACCAAACTGTACATAGAAATAACAAATATCTATGAAAAAAATTAATCATTTTACGTTTTCAACTTACATTCTGTGTGCAGGTAGTAGGTACCTTAAATAATATTTGTAGATTTATAAAAATGACTAATTTGTTAAAATATATAACTAGTACGTAAACAATTGTTGCAATCCTTTTTTGTTATTTTAATTTGTAACTATATAATAATAGATAATACTAGTTTCATGTTTCAATATCTTTTTATTTTATATGATAAATTATTATATTGAAATAAAAAATAATGTAAGTCTTAACTACTTTGAAATAATTAACAATATATACATACCTCTTTTACTTTCTTAAGTGAAAAATATAAATTCTTGAATAAATAATAAAAATAAAAAATAAATTTTAAAATTTTAAAAAAAAAGTATCACACTTGTTCGCTATAAGTTCCAGAATCTTCAACATCTGAATCATTCATTTCAAAAATCTATAAACATAAATTAACATGAAATATTTGTTGGATAGTCTTCTAAATGAACATACTTGAATGTTTTCAAATTCATTCTTAAGACTTGTTAATCCAGTTAAATCTTCTAAATAGTTAGGATTTGTAAATACATTACTTAAAAACTCCTCTTTTTTATTTAAAAAGTCATTGATGACCTGCAAAAAACAAAAACTAAAACAGTTAAACATTAAGATTAAAATTTTTTAAAACGTACTATTGGTGAACATGCAATGCATTGAAAAAAACTTGAAGTAAATGGTGTTATTTGTTGAAAATCAGATATAAATCCTCTAATGGAATGAGGCACAATCCCTAAACAACATTTAGCATTCGCCAACACATTGTGCCTAAACAAACAAATCTCATATAAATAATTTTTTAACTATCATTGTGCTTATAGACATACTTCAATTGAATGTATGATACAAATAACTCAACAGCCAAAGCTCCTGCTATGTTGGAAACACCTGGTCTGGTGACTGTGCATTGCTGGTCAAGTGTCTTATCTACGAGTGACTTCATTAAAATAATTTTTATTATAAAAAAAATAATAAAATACAAAAAAATTTGATGATTTTTATAAAAAATAATTAAACCATACATTTCCAGGTGCTGTGACATCATTACAAAAATAACAACCTAATTTTTTTTCACCAGAAGAAACATTTTGTACTTCAACTCCATGTCTGAGTACTAAATATGATTCAAATCCTAATGCCGCAGTTATAGCAAGCTAGAACAAAAATGATAATTAAATTTACTGTATTATTTATAATTAAAAAAGTTGTCAATCGAAAAATAATTACTACCTTATTATGTAATGTAGATAACATGGTAGGTAACCAACGACTTTCTCGAGAATCCGTCAACAAAAATATAACATCATTATCTTCTATTAATTTGGATAACAAATCTACATTTTTATGATCATCAATATTTGCCACATGGCCAGGCATTGGAATACTCATAACCACACCAGTACTATTCTAAAAATTCAATGTCAATATATATATTAAGTATAATAATCACAATATTGTATTCAGTGGGTTTCAAATTTTAATATTGCATTATTTGATATTTATTATTTAAAAACACATACAATTTCTGGATGTATTTCCCGTAATACATCAGCAGCAGCTATCGCTTTGTAAGTATTTGAATTGATGCAATGAGAATGTCTATATAATGACTGTCTAACTGGATTTGAATATGATACTTTCCCGCTATCAATAAATGTTATGTTATGAACACCCCATGCCTAAAGAATAAAAAAGTATATATTATACAAAATATAATTTGATTAAAGATATACAAAGATTTAGTTGTCATTTTCAAACAAAAAAATTATAAAATTCTATTTTATATAATTTGCTTAATTTAGCAATTTTTATTAACTACGGTTTTCATTACTTTAATTTTTCTATCAATAATAAACATAAAATATGTTACAGTTAATGTTAATAATCAACAATTATCGCGTATCAATAATAACTTGTTTGAAAAGGTCATCATGGGATTGCCAAATTCATATAAATATAATATTATGAGATACTCAGACACTCAAATAATCAAACTTCAAGCACTTATAAAATATAAAATAATAAATGATCAGAGCTAGGATTTGTATGCAACAGCATGTTTTTTATGTGATTTCTGGTTATTTATTTTGTCAGTAATGTCCGCGAATCACCTCATGATGGTGATGGTGGTGTTTTAATTTTGCATGTTTTCGATAAAATACATGATATTGCATATATGGAATAAAATGAATATTATTGCATATTTTGATTATAATAATGCGAAAAATGCATGTTTTATAGTATATTTCGTATTTAATTCTAGCCCTGCTGATAAAAGTATAAAACTTGGTTTTTTTGTCAAACATAGAGTTTATTTTTATAAATATAATCCTATGGTACAATAGATACACGATAAAAGATTGAATAAATTGACGGAGAAAGATTAACACAATTAATAAAAGCATGAATGTCAATATGAAATCCAAGATAAAATATAATTTGTCAGGTACTTAGTGTATTACATACAATCCCACATAGTACAGACTGTTCAGCTGTCCACACATCACTATAACTATTTTTAATATAATAATATATTATATATTTATATGTTTATTGTAATTGTTGAAACTAATGGTTCAGACCAAGTTTCTTGTTAAAAAAAAATCTTATGAAAATTTAAATGCATATTTTTGCATACTTTGATAAATAAAATACATATTTACAATTTTTTATTATATACAAATCCTAGCTAGCCCTGTAAATGATCAATATTCATACAAATTTAATATTGACTAAACTTGCCAATCAGAATTCTACATTCCGATGCTTAGTATCAATAATACAGTTAACATTGACAATAACATATTATATTATAAAATATAAATTTTATATTATTATGGACTTGGCTCATTACATTTTATCTTTTTGATACTATTACCTATATATGTTATACCAGAGTTGGTGCTTTTTAAATATTTGGTTAAAAAATATGGACTTTAACAAGTTATAGAATTCTTAACGAAATAGAGCGAGTTTCCAATTGAATCATATTCTATTTAATTGTAAATTTATATTATAGTTAAATAATATAATACAAACCATTAAATTTCTTGCCACACAACAACCAAGCGTACCAGCCCCAATAATTAGACATTTTGATTGAGCAACAATATCTAAATTTAAGTCAGGAGCAATGCGCCATTTCATTAACTTAAGATTTAGATCTACAGATGCTTTTGCTTGTCTAAAAATATTAATAATAATTAATAAAACACAAAGAAAATTGTAACATATTTTTAGATATACTAACTTTGTAGAATCCATGGTTTTACTTAGATCTACATATTTCGGACAGAACATTCCTTTAGAATTTTTTTCCCAACCCACAAATTTAATAGCATCTTGCCTAAGAATCATTTCAGCTAAATATAAAATAAATATAAACAAGTTAAGTTATTTTTTTATTTCATAATATAACTAATAAGACTTACAAGATAGTTTTATATTAAATAACATGCTTGCTGAAAATTTAGTAGAAGGAGAACCTCGTAATGCTATTACTTTCAACACTGAAGTTCTTATGGAAGGGCTAAAAGTAAAATTTATCATTAGTGAGTTTAATAAATGTTATGAACTATTTAGCAATATTATTAATAAATCTATGCCTTATAATATCACATATTGATTTATTTTATTACCAAAATAAGTGATGAATTTTTGACTATACTCTACTTTACTAACTTAGTATAGTATTCCGTTTTATATTAGTAATTCTAAATAAATCATGAGACTAAGATCACGCTGCTTGTCACCCTTACAGAGTCAATCATCTGTATCACAATTACCAGTTATATAATAGACTCACTCATGAGATCTAGTAGGTCACCCAAATCACTTATTATGTTAATTAAGAGTTTACACTCTTAAAATAATATTTTAATATATTAATTTATATATTTTACCAGTGAAGTAAAATTAAATACAGAAGATTTCGTAGTGGCCATCCAGGATTATTCAATAAATCTGATGGATCGGCAAACACTAAATAACCTACTGAATCATTTCCTGTATTATTTTTGAGTAAATCTATATACTCTTTTAGAGTCATAACAGTAAGGTTTTCTTCTTTTGTGGATACAATTCCAAAAAATCCTCTTTGGTCAATTTTAAGATTTTTAAATCCAAAAACCAATAAATCAAACTAAAATATAATAATGGTATTAACAATAGAATAAAACATTTTTATAAATATTCACCTGTGTAGGAGAAAATGTATTTTTAAGAGAAGTAGGTACATCATTTAGACAATACTTTGGCCCGGAAAATGATGGAAACGCAAACCAAAAGTAAAAAATATATCGTTTCAAATCCTAGAATAATTAATAATTTATTACATCAAGTTACAAAATTATTAAAAATAATAACAGAACAACTCACAGTATACATTAATATATCAAAAGTTGGAATTAATGATGGGTCTTCAATAGCTTTACCGGATTGGAAATCATTTAATAATCGTTCACCAAATTTTTTTAACAACTCATTTTTATCACATGTCTTAAATGAGTCTATTGTATTTTTATTTAAACAGTAGCCACGAGCAATACATTTAAAAGATGTTTCATCATTAACTTCTCTGTAACATAAATGTTAGGTAAATACATATTAATGATTCAAAAAACTCATTATAAAATAAACAATTTTATTACATACTGATTAAAAGATGAACAGTCAAATGACATATATGGATTATTATTTGAAGTATAATATCCAGTCAATGGTCTATGGATTTCATCTAGCTTATCAACTTCTAATTTTAATTGACAGACTTTGAACCAAAAATTAGGATCAAGACAAGATGAAAACGGTTCAAATCGCAATAATGTTTCATCTTTTATTGATGTTTTTGAATAATCTTCATTATTAATAGTACCGACTGTTTCTACAATGTATAATTGTGTAATTAATTTATAACTATTTTAATTTAACTAACATAACAGTTAATAGAATAGTATTATATTAAACATAATTTACCTGGTAAACTATCCATTTTATAAATTATTTGATACAAGTGTTACTTATTCACAAACATTTTTTCTTCTGAAAAATAAAATATACAAACATTAAAATATTTTATTATCTTTATAATATTATATAAAATATATTATACAGTATTTAAAATTTAATTGTATTCCAATAATGTTAGAAAAGTAAATACTACTTACACAGTATTTATCTATTCATAAATAATGTAAATACTAATTACAAAAAATAATATTAAATATATTTTATATTTACCAAGTTCAAATATAATTAATAACACTGATTTCATAATATACTATTATAAAATCAATACCTCTAATATTGATCTTAAATACAATTTACATTAAATCTAAGAAGCTACTGAATGAAAATTTTAAATGCATGATCATGATAATTAACTTATGAAGTTGTGTTGTACACATAAACAAATTATTTGAATTAAATAATTTATTTTAACAAATTTAGTAGGATTATTTTGGTTAGTTTTTAATTGTTCTATCATACCCAAATCTATTAATGTAAATAATAAAATTGTTTGATCTTTTTTTCCTTTTTATGTACATTTTATTTTTAGTTAACACAATTATTAAAAATTAACTAGAACAACAAATTTAGAAGAATCAATTGACACGTATGTACTTGAAACAACTTAATGAGGTAACCATATTACATACCTAATAATTGAATAATAATTAATATATACACAGTATTCAGAAATCAGATGTCTGAAGTTCCAAACTTGATTCAAAATTACACTCGTTTAATGATTAATGAATCAAGTAAAAATCAAACTGTGTAACTGTTTTAAGTAGGTATCGATCACAAACGTAGGACTATTAATGATATCCGTAAAAGTGTGAATGTAAAGAAAAATGAATAATGAACTGTTACCTATACAATCTTCGTGAATCGTGAGAATGAAGATGTCATTCCAATCGATTTAGCCACGCAAGTACGCCATAACCACATCCGCCATAGATTAAAAGGATTCTATGCTTAAAAATAAATTCTAAAAGACTAGCAAGTAACTAAAAATATTAATTTGTAATATTAGTATAGTCACGGTCTTCCGTATTACAACTTTGCAAAGTCTACGATGATAACGGACGAGCAGCTCATTTGTTTTCCGTGATAACAACCTTAATCAAGTAGTACGTGCGATCCGTCCCGGGGGGTAAGCGTTTACTGTTAAGTGTTAAGACTGTTTGTATATTTATTATTTACTACTTTACTAGTTAGTTGTAGGTTGTGTTTGCACGATCAAATGACAAACAATTAAATTATAAATTATCCGTAATTTCAATTTTAATTAATTGTTATCGAATCTCGTTATGGTAATTTGGTGAATCCGCTGGACTACACTATGCACAACAACAAGATGAATGATAAAATATCGTTTTCGTTCAACTCCGGCGGACGGACGTCGTCATCCCGGTCAGTGGCCATACCTCCACCATCAAACAGCGGACTTAGTAAGCAGGGCTACTCCACTTTGAACGCCATAAACCATTCTGCGATCTCCTCGACTTGGGGCGTGCCGAAGAAACGAGCAAAAACCGAAGAAGAGTAAGTGGTGTGCACCCACTCGCTCACTTTAACTTGACTGTGAACGTTAATGGTGTTTAAGGTATTTTGAAGACGAAGATGAACATCAACAACCTCAACTAGAGTACATTCCTGCACCCGATAGTCCGTCTAATAAAAAATCTGACTGCGATTCGGATTCCTCTGAAGATCCATTAGATGCTTTCATGGAAGGATTAGAAAAAGAAGTATGTTTTATAAATTTTTTACACTTGAGTATGTAGAAAAACTTGCAAGTACTCTAGTCTGATTCCTTGTTCAGAATTGAGAACAAAAATTAATTTATTTTATAGGTAAAAAAAGCAAAAACTTCTGACAAAAAAGAAAAAAGAGAAGATGAAAAAGGTATTAGACAAGATATTGAAGAAGAGGATATAGAAGAATCATACTACAGGTATTTAATATGACCTTACATTTTACTGTTATATTTCTATTATTGCTGGAAAATAGAAATTATCACTTTTTTCATTATACTGTTAGATATATGGAAGAAAATCCAACAGCAGGTCTTGTTGATGAAACTTCAGACATTGAAATTGATTATGATGAAGATGGTAATCCTATTGCACCGCCAAAGAAAAAAGTTGGTACCATAATAAGTGATTCAATTTTCAACATAATTATAATTAAAAACAAATTTACTTTACTAAACACACTTAAACTTAAATTTTTAATATATCAAAAAAAAAAAAATATTGCAATAATTAATTTCTGAGCTGTACACTTTAAAATATTTTAAAATAGGTAATTTATAGCATAACAATAAACAGTTTTTGATGTAATTAATTTTAGAATTTGTGATATAATATTTTAATCAAATATTAGTCAAAACTTTTAATCATATTAATAATAGGAATCATTCATTTATTTTACTATAACACATAAGTTTTTCAATTGATTTTTACTTTTTGTTAAACTCTGACCCCTTATCTTGCCATAACTATTGAAAATATATTATTATTACGATTTTAATTTTTAACTCGTTGTATTTAAAATCAAATAAAACCGTTTATCAAACTCAATTTTCTCATTTGCTGTAAAAGCCTTAGTTACACTTAAATTATAAATAACTTAAAAAAATGAATTATTTTGATATAATATTATAATTTAATGAAATTTATTGCGCTTTATGATTTTAATTTATTACAAAATCTTTGTTGATTAATTTTAAAACTTTAATATTCTTATACTCTTCTTTTTTTTATTTTTTATTTTTTTACCTCAAAGGAAATAGACCCACTACCTCCCATTGATCATTCTTCTATCAAATACCAAAGCTTTGAAAAAAACTTTTACTCTCCACACAGTGAAATATCATCTTTAACTGTGGATAAAGTTATTCAACTACGTAAGACTCTTGGTCTCAGAGTAAATGGTGCTGATTTGCCTTATCCAGTCACGTCATTTGCTCATTTTAATTTTGATGACACTTTAATGAAAATTATTCGCAAGTCTGATTACACACAACCCACACCAATTCAAAGTCAAGCAGTTCCTGCTGCGCTTGCTGGGCGTGACATCATTGGTAAACAAAAAATATTTCAAAAGAACTTTTCATAAAATAAATGTTTTAAAATGATTTTCTAAACTATCTATGATTTTGCATAGGCATTGCCAAAACTGGAAGTGGTAAAACGTTAGCATTCATTTGGCCAATGTTGATACACATAATGGACCAACCAGAATTGAAAGAAGGTGATGGGCCAGTCGGTTTGATATTGGCACCTACCAGAGAATTGTCTCAACAAGTATAAATCAATAACCAAAAACAAATTGTTGAAAATTATTTCTTAATGTTTTTGTTGTCTAGATCTATGTAGAAGCAAAAAAGTTTGGAAAAATCTATAATCTGAGAGTAGTATGTTGTTATGGTGGAGGTTCAAAGTGGGAACAATCCAAGGCACTTGAAGGAGGTGCCGAAATCATAGTAGGTACTCCTGGGAGAGTAATTGATTTAGTTAAGATGGGTGCAACCAACTTAACTAGAGTAACATTCCTTGTACTAGATGAAGCAGATAGAATGTTTAATATGGGTTTTGGTAAGTATGAATGTGATTTTTATTAAGTAGTAACATGAAATTTATTAAATAATAAATTTGGTTTCAGAACCTCAAGTGCGTTCCATTTGTGACCATGTGAGACCGGATCGCCAAACATTGCTGTTTTCTGCAACATTTAAAAAGAAAATAGAAAAGTTAGCACGCGATATTCTTACTGATCCTATAAGAATTGTTCAAGGGGATATCGGCGAAGCAAACACTGATGTAACACAAATTATGTTGGTGATGCCACAGAGTGACAAGTGCCAATGGCTGTTGAATAATATTGTTCAATTTACGTCAAATGGATCAATTCTTGTATTCGTTACTAAAAAAGTCTGTTAAAATTAAGACATGAAATAAAATAAAAAAATAAAATAAAATAAGTTTATTTTAATAATTTATAGTTAGATGCAGAACAACTAGCCAACACCCTGGCTTTAAAGGAGTATGAAGTATTACTGCTACACGGTGACATGGACCAAGCTGAAAGGAACAAAGTAATAACAAGGTTTAAAAAACAAGAAGTAAATATTATGGTAGCCACTGATGTTGCTGGTAAGATTATATTTTTATAATAATTGTTTGTGGTAATACATACAAAATATACAAATCAACTTTTTTGAAACTAGTTTTATCCCAATATTCAAACTTTCAAAAAATTAAAATGACATATAGTCTTAAATTAATAGGGTTTCTCTTAATTCTTACAATTTACACCATTATCAAAAACTATTTTTAATGGTTGATAAGTCAGGATTTTGTTGAAATTTGTAGATGTACATTTTATGAAGTATTAAAAACTGCAATAAAACATGATTTCGCTTTTTTTTCAGCCCAGTTGGTTTCTGTAACAACTGATTTAAATATCAACATCCCTTATAACTAATATTTTGATCACTGTTTTGTTTTTATAGCTAGAGGTCTAGATATAGCTCATATCAGAACAGTTGTGAATTACGACATAGCTCGAGATATTGACACACATACACATCGTATTGGAAGAACTGGTAATATATTCATCATTTCTTTGTTTAGCAAATTAAAATATCTGATAAAAACTGTTAATTTTAGGTCGAGCGGGAGAAAAAGGTACTGCATTTACTCTAGTCACGCCAAAAGATTTTGAATTTGCCGGTCACTTGGTACGAAATCTTGAAGGTGTGGGACAGGAAGTTCCCAAACCACTTATGGATCTTGCCATGCAGGTAAAGAAGCATATCAATTGAACTTCATTGAAACCATTAATAATTTATATATTATATTATTCTAGAGCTCTTGGTTTAGAAAAAGTCGTTTCAAAGGCGGAAAGGGTAAATCAGTAAATGCCGGGGGCGCTGGACTAGGATATCGGGAACCATCGGGTTCAAATAATTTTTCCGTCAGTAATGTTTTATTTCAATGAGTTATATATGCCAATAATGTTTTGACACAATGAATTATAAATTGTAGGCAACAAGTTCGTATCAATGCCCAAAACCTGCAGCTGCAGTACCACCAGCACCAAAAAGTGGTCCTGGATCAGGACGATTGTTAGCACTGAAAGAAGCATTTAAAATGCAATACCAAAATCAAGTGAGTAATAAAATATTTATAGTTCCTTAATGTGTTTATAATTCATTAAAATTATTGTTCTTCATGTACTGAATTTTATTTTGGTAATTACAGTTTAAAGCTAGTGAAGATCACACTTGGGAACAAACAGTTGGATCGAGTTCATCGGTAAAAGTGCACACCGGTCCATTAAAAGAACGAAAAGCAAAAAAAAACCGGTGGGACAATTGAAAAGTTTATTTATTTTTTTATTTTGTTTAATATCAAACCTATTTTAAATTGTAATACTTAAATATAACTTTAATAATTGTCTTATAAATAAAAATTTGTAACTTATTTCGAAAACAAAGTTTTATTTTATTTTTTCAAAAAAAAAGTTTTTTAGTAATGTATTTTATTTATACACTTAACATTTACAACTTACTGTATTGTATCATGTTTAGCATACTATTTTTGTGAACCCACTGTTATTCTAAACTATGGTATGTAAAAAATTAATTGATGCTTGATTATAACATTCATTATACAACTAATCAATAGCATTCTCAACTTATGTATTAAACATAGTTCATTATTTTATATTATATCTTTAAGAAGAGAGTAATTATCGATAGTTTAAATGCTATTTGATTATTAACTGTTTGTTTAAGTACAATCAATAAAAAGTGATAGTGATTAACTTACCAACTGTCTTTATCGTGTTCAGATGTTCATAGGTTTTACGTTTCTAAGTAAATATACCATATCTTAAAATTATCTTGCACACATTTCAAACAGCCTCGTATATTCATCAAATCTTAAAATATTATTTTAATTTTTTGTTTCCAATTTATGGTTGATTTGTCTCAAGAAAAAAATAGCATAGATAAATGACAATCATAGCTAATTTTTCGTTGATTGCACTAAAGTACTGATTTTAAAATTACACAAGCTAATAACAAAAATAAAACGTTTTACTATTAAATGTTCAATCTGTAGTTGATTTCACTTTCATACAAATTTAAATATTTTTGCATTGTAGTGTTTTGTTTTTGATTTGTATTTTAATTCTAAATTATTATTATCTCATCACTATTCTCAAAATTCGTATGAAATAATTAGATATTAGTTCTGTTGTATGCTATTGAAATGTATGTAATAAATATATTTGAATGTAATTATAATAATGTTAGAAAATTAATTTAATTACTAGTATTAACTAGACTGAGTTATTACAAATAATTTGTTGATTAAATTTATCAAGAAATCACCTATTACATCAATAAACAAAGACTAGAAACAATTTTTAAAAATAATTAGTTAAATTAATTTTTATTAATTTGTTTATTACAAAAACGTGATTGACTTAAAGAGTTTATTATGTATATAAAAAAAATTAAAAAAAACTAACACAAATGATTCACTATCATTGTGAAAAATACTTTTGAAACAAAACTTAATTGGTTTTGTTAACAAGATAAAACAAAGAATACTTATAAATAGTAAATAGAATAAATAATACAAAAATAAATCTAGATTTAAAAACAGTTATCTAAATAATAATTAATAATTATAAAAACAAATCTTTAATTACTGTTGAATTGTACATTAGGATTAAAGCATACTTTTCTCTGATTTTCTTCTGGTTCATCTAAATTTTCCAACATGGAAGAAGTAAAACTGAACTCTGATTCATCACTGCAATTAGGATTTTTATTAAAATTATGTTTAGGTGATTAAAAAAAAAGTACTATGTATGTATACTTAAAATTCATAACATACTGTTTTCACAATCACTTACCCTGTATCTTGTGTGCCTAATGTATCTAAGGTATCATTTGATGCTAGTGAGTTTTTAATTATTTTTGATGGATCCAACTGAAAGACACTACATGTACCTTGGAAATCATTAGTGTTTGTCAAGCAAATATCGCTACCTCCTAAAATAAGAAAATGTAACCATTACAATTGCAATTTATTTTTGAGGATTCAGAAATAAGTAACATAAATTATAATATTTTATTTACTTAAAAGTTTAGGGCGGTTTATGGTTAAAACTGCTTTGTCTTTTGGTTGTTTGGTTGATGTAATACTCCATGTATCTTCATCCACACAACAAGACTGGGTAATTTTTATAACACTAATTTCAGATTCAGATACAATTATCAAAAACGGTTTTTTGAAAGCTAAAAACAAATAATTAAAAATTAACTAAATGATTAACATTACATTTGTGGATTATACACACCAAAACTATTTGGACTGTATGGCCATTTCATTTCACCACCCCGGGTTTTTTTGCCATCACAGTCAACAAATACTCCATACACATTGTAACATAATAGATATTCCTTATTTCTCGTTAATTCACATACAAACATTGGTCGATAATCGTGTGACTTAGCAAGTGAATCTGTGAAAAATCCTAAAGAAACAAAAATATTTTATAATCAAAATACTAATGAAGTTTTTTGAAATTGCTCACTTTTACAACTAAGAGTTTCTATATCAATTTTGTAAAAACTATTGGTAGTAAATATAATTCCACTGGGCATAAAGCAAATGCAATTAGTTGGAACATTGGTTTTCAATATTTTATTTACAACAAACTGTGTATCTTGCCATTTTAAAACACTAGGGAATTACAAAAATTACAATATTAATGATTACATCACACGTAAATAGTATTAACATTATGATACATTAATAATTTTAATACTAACGTAACACTATGTTCAGATCCTATAACTACTAATTCATTACACCGGGAAACTGCAATACAGTTAATTTCTTTTAATTCAGACATAGTCGTATTATTCTTAGACGGCTGACTGTTCCGTATTTCATCTACAATACGAACCACTTCAATAACTGGCTTTGACATTTGACTTAATTCTGAATTTAGAACAACACTTCTCATATTACATTTTAATAGCTCTTTAGTGGTTCCTGAAATACAATAAATACAACAAATGAAAAAATCATGAAATAAAATTGTTATATATGTACTCACCAGCAATCATTAAAACTAATTGAAGTTTGGGCAAGAAGACAAAGTCATTGACTAATTTTGGTCCAACTATAGGGACGAGATCGTGTTTAACTTGTTCATTCTCAGATTTTATATGGACTGAAAATAATCCTTCAACAGCACCTAATAAGAATACCTGTAGAATCCAAATATAATAAGTTAAAAACTCATGATATAATTTATAAACATTAACACTTACACTTTGTGATATTTGATGAATGCAGTTAACATTAAGTAATTTATCCTTGTGAAAAGTATATATAATATCCTTATAGTCATGGTTTTGTTGTGATTGAGCTACATATTCACAATTTTCTAAAAACTCTTTAATTATACTCAACCAATTCTGTTTTTCAGACACGCTAGACACAATAATGTACAAAAACAAGGTCATCCACCCAGTGTTTAAGTTATACACTTCTATTTTCAACATCTGATCATAATCTTCATTAGAGTTTCTGTCAAATGTTGAATCATTTGATTCTGCTACATCAACAACTTTAACAATATTTGATGACATCATCAATGGTAGAGTATAGAATGGTTGAATATCATGTTTATCATTAAGAATTTGCAGTACCCCTTGTTCAAATTTTGCATACTTTCGATCCCAAATCTGTTTTGTATTGCTAAAAATAAAGAACAAAGAAAATTATTCATCAGAGAAATTATAAATACATTTCCAAGAAAAATATACAACTAAAATAATCATTAATAGCAAGCACTTTATAAAAAAAATAACATGGTTTAATAATCTAGCTAACTGTGGTAACATTGAAAAAATTAATACACATAAATAATTTAATATTTGCCCTTATGTTTACTAAATAACATCACTTAGATTGTTTAATTAAAAACTGAAAATAAATAGTGATTTTACCAACATATTTAAGACTAAAAAAATATAAAAGTAAATTGTAAAATTTTAGAAATGCATGCACTTATTACATGGCAACTGGAATTATAGTACATAGTCAACAAACTGATGTCTTTTTCAGTGTAATGTAATATCATTATTTATTTAATACTTGTAGACAAAATATAAGCAAATACTGCTACTAAGATAGTAAGCAGTTTTATGAATAACCTCAGAAGGGTCTAAGAGTAGGTAATAGGTAATAGGTCAATCTGCTAGCTCTTTTAACAGATACCTACATAAATGAAATCTTATAAAACTATTTCACTTTTAGATGATCGTCCAAGTACCCTTTTCTCCTTAGTACATATTATGAGAATTATTTAGGTTTAATTAGCTTATTAAACAAAACAATGAGCATTATGTTTTTTATGATGTGTCAATAATTGCTCACAAATTAGTGTTGTCATACCTTTTTTCTCATGAGTTGTATGTAGCTTATAATCATTACATTGTTGAACTAGATCTATAATAATTAATTTTAAAATATTAAAAACAATTAAGCACTTACTCCCAAATAGTAACCCATGATTCAATCTCAGTTCTTTTCTTACTATCACTTAGAATAGGAGTAGTTGATTGTTCTTCTTTTTTAATAGGAGTACAATCAGGCAATAACTCATGTGAACATGTTACATGTGTAGACACTCTACATTCTTGACATTGACTTATTTGTTGTCTACTCGCAATTTCAGTTTTGCAATGTGAACATTGTAATCCATCACGTTTGCATATCTTCACTTCAAATCTAAATTTATATTATAAAATAATGAATATATTTACTTGTTGTGGTTTTAAGCATTTATGAATAAGTAACTTACTTATGAAATGACTTAAGTTGAGATAATGCAGAAGAAGTTAATTTGTTGTAAGCAGGTGAATTAGCTTCAAAATTAAGACGAGTGGGTAATAAAGGTGTCATTGGACCTTGTGTTTTCACCATATTTAGTTCAGCTTGAGTTTGATAAAGTTTATTTGCTAGATCTTTAGATTTACTCCTTTCAGAATTTAATAGAAATTCGATTTCCTACATAAAATACATTTTATATTCATAAAACATTTAGTAAAATATTAACTAAAAGGGAAGAAATAAAAAAATAATTTTACTTTTTGATCAATATTTTCTTTATTTTTACCGCTGAATAACATATCTCCCAACGTCCTCTTCTTTTTGGTTACTTCATCAAACTTTGTTTGCAGAAAATCAATAAGCTTTGTTTGTTGAAGAATAGTAGCATCTGCTTTTATTAAACGTTCTTCATAATAAACTTTTTGTTCCATTAAACCATTCTTATATTTTGAAATAACA